TTCAAAGTACTGCAAAAAAAAATGTTTATAAACCTACAGAATTCTATAGGGAAAGAAAAAACAGCTGCCTCGCTCTTCCATAAACTAAATGATACCCAATCGTGATCACATGTGAACAGCATTTTTTTTTTCATAATCCTACAGAAAGATGATGAGGAAGGGTTTTGTATGCCCTTACACACTCTTGGCATCTGAGGCTCTCCCCGCAGCTCTGTGTTTTGTCTGAGTGTAGGCAGACACTGTATCAATTTGTTACTGACAATGTATCAATCCCGTATTTTGTGCGAGCAGAGACAGCGTCTGCCTGTGACTTACAATGTATCAATCCCGTATTTTGTGTGAACAGAGACAGCGTGTGCCTGTGACTTACAATGTATCAATCCCGTATTTTGTGTGAGCAGAGACAGTGTGTGCCTCGACTTACAATGTGTCAACCCTGAGCGGTGTCTCCTTCCTAACTCGTTACTTCCACAGAGTAGATAGGGAAATGCTCCCTCAACTCCTCCTTTACTTATAGACTCCTAAAATGCCTTTAAGATCAACACCTTTCCATCGACAAGTGTATGTTTAAAATGTAGAACAACACTGTGATCCCCTTGCCAAGAAGAAACCGTGCTGCTGAATTAAATGCACCCTAAAAGACGCAATGTACTTTCACAGGAGCAGGATTTGTCTGTCAACAGAGGGTAGAGGAATAAGGTAGGCCCCCAGGTACCAGAGGCTTTGGAAATAATTCAAGGAAGATATTTTTAAAACTCTAAACTAGGGTGGTATGTCTCTATAATGGAATGTCATTCAGCTGCAGAAAGGAAGGAAGTTCTGACAGCTGCTACAACATGGATGAAACTTGAACACATCACACTGAGTGATGGAAGCCAGACACAAAAGACCACACATTATATAGGTCATGGGCTGAACTGTGTCCTCCCAAATCCATATGTTGGAGCTGTAACCCCCAGGACCTCAGCCTGTGGCTGTGTTTGGAGATGGGTCTTTACAGAGGAGATTAAGGTAAACTGAGGTCACCAGGGTGGGCCCAGATCCAACAGGACTGGTGTCCTTATAAGCAGAGGAGATGAGGACACAGACACACACAGAGGGACGACCCCGTGAGGACACAGGGAGAAGACGGCGTCTACACGCCCAGGAGAGAGGCCTCAGGAGGAACCAGCCCTGAGACACCTTGATCTGGGACTTCCAGCCTCCAAGATGGTGAGAAAATAAATTTTTCTTATTC